CAGCCGCCGCGGTACCATCGGGCAGCACAGGATGCGACCGCAATGCCCGTCCCAGGTGGGAGGAAAGGGTGCAGGGAGGGCAAAGCCGCTCGAGCTGCTCCTGGCCGGCCAGCGGGTGCCTGGGCGCTGCTCGAGGTGACCCAGGGGCAGAGAGGGCAAAAGGCTCCCTAGCAGCCTCGCCGGTAACCCTGCTCCTGTCCCAGGGGACCGCGACAGCACGTTTCCCCAGGTCGCTTTATTGCGGGTATTTCCATAACAGAACCAGCGTTCGGCAAAGAACAAAAGTGAAACCCAGCGTAAAGGTAGGCTTGATAGCTCCAGCTTTCTGTAAGCAAATACTCAAATATTTCAGATGCCCTTACAGCCACCGCAGCGGAGGGGAAAGGAAGGGAGAAACAGTCAAGTACTTTGCTAGTCCAGTAGTTCATCCTAGCGCGAGATGGGGTACGCGGCTGAAGACATTTACTGAGAACAACACAGATAACATCAGGGGGGGTTTTTTGTTCAAAGGGATTTTGTTTGTGTGTTATTCTCACTCTTGAATATTCATTTGCTACAGTTACAGAGTTAACAAGTACATGTTTAAATAAGTCACAGAAATACTTACAGACCAAATGATGATCATCCTTCTAGACACAGAGTGATCTATGTTCCAGTAGGTAAATGGAAGGAAGGTGATATAAAACACCTCTTCACCCAGAGCAGCTGAAAACTTGAATAAGTAGTAGTAGAAATAGTTCTTCACCACATACTTCTGTGCATAACCCTGAAAAAAAGAGGATTTTACAGAGCATTAGTGACTTAGTGAATTACACCAAACGTCTAAGACATTTTACTGTTAAAATTCCCAGCCCTATAAACCAATTTGTTCACCAAGTAACAGTTTGTTAGAGCCAATCTCAATAAACTAAGTTCATTTTTATACTAAAACAGAGACCATAGTGTTTGATTGCTTTTCCTGCAGATTAGAAATCTGTTCAAACTAATTAAGGGTAGCAACCACTTTGAAAAACAGATTTTCAAGAGATCAGATCAATCTTTGCTCTAGGGAAATCATCTACATTTAACAAAAAGGTACCAATGTTTTAATTTCAAAGTTTCTGCAGCTATAGATACAAAGAACCATCGTTGCTTTTGCTGGAAATGTGTTTTGAGATAAAATAAATAAATGAATGGATGACTGCAAGAGTTCAGTAGCTGCTCATACCTTGCCTCACTGGATCAGACAAGATGTACCCTGCTAGCAGGACAGCTCTTCCCTCCGGACGTGGATGCCCCGCGGGGGCAATCAGATCGCCTCCAGCCAGAAACGCTGCAGCTCTAACTGCAACGCTTAAACCGGAGTCAATTCAGCTTTCGGAGCGGTACGAACAGACTTAAGGAAGAACAAGGCTGTGGACGGCGCCAACAGAACTGCCCATTTCACCACCTAATTTCCGCCTCTTCCAAACGCAGCAGGACAAAACAGTGGTGGGACCTTTTTCCAGGGCTACCCCGCACCTCTCTGACCACCGGCCCCCCCGAGCTGGTCCAGCCCCTGCAAGAGCTTCCCGTGAGCCGAGCGCGACGGCGGTCCCTGGCCAGGACAGTCTGTTTTCTTAAAGACCTAAGATTCCGGTCATTTCATGGTGACTTGCCGTCGCTGACCTTCGGGACGAGCCTGTCACCCAAAAACCTTCCACCTTGTCCCCAGGAGCAGCGGGCAAATGAACCAGATTTTATACAAACACCTGTACGCTTCAGAAAAAGAGAAAAGGAAAGATTTTTTGAGGAGGATTTTTAATTTGGGAGACCGGGGAAGGGAAGCCAATCCCTTCTCGCTCCATCGCTCCCAAAAGCAAAAGATTTAAAAAAGAAAAAAGAAAAAGAAGAAGAAGAAGAAAAAAAAGAGGAATTTGGCTGTGTAACTATGAGGTAAAGCTTCCTAACCATGAGAGCTGAGAAGGGATCAGGAAGGTCTCAGCAGAGACGCTGGCGAGGTAGGTTGCGATACAGCTTTGCCATAAGCTTCTGAAACCCTTCTGAGAGTAAAACTATTAGGTTCTGAGCTGTCTGTGAGCCTAATCTACCAGAGACAAATCCCCATCCTAAATACTAGTGAGAAAATGTAAAAATTGCCTAAGGACTCTCTAGACATTCAATTGCAATTCATTTTAAAAGCAATTAGAAATTACAATCCCTTAATCCGCTTTCAATACGGAGATTGTTAGGCCAACTGTATCAAGACAAAGAAAGCAAGACAGAAAGAAGTAACATCCATTCACCTATCATAGAAAAAAAATTAATTATTTAAATTGATTTTAGCATCAATAAACAAAACAGAAAAGATGAGTCATTGCTTTTGAACTCCTCAGGTTACAGGAGCGTTCCCCCATGTATTAGTAATAGAGGTCACAGAGCAGTTACTGGCATCACTAAGTAAATTCAGAAGTTTGAATTAAGGAACAGGCAGTCTGAACATCTTGGGTCTCATACATCAATTAGAAAACACCGCCAGCGCAATTAGCAGCTCTGCCGCTTCTGCCCGAGATCGCTAACCCATACTGGGACATACTTATGTGTCCCGGAAGGATGCTCCCTTCTCGGGGCGGTGAGTCTGCAATTAAGCAGCCCTCCCTGATGTGTTAGGAGCTCTGTACTCATGGGCCTCACACCAAAGATGAGCAGACACAGTCCCGAGGCCATTCCTGTATACTTGAAACCTCGTGGGGGGAGGGATAAAACTTTCTAATTACAGGAATGTGTTCTGTGGGGAAAAAATATTGTTTTTTAATTCTTCAGCTTCTAAAAACAAAACTGGACTTAAAATATTTTGGGGGAGGGGGGAGGCAGGCAGTCCTTCTACATGATTTTTAAAATCTTTCTTTTTCTTTCTTCCTCTCTTCTTTTTCTATCACAAATCATCTCCCGCCTGATTTATTTTTTAATACTTTTTTTTTTTAAATACACCAGCAGTTCTTGATAGCCTCACAGGTGAGGCCCGAGACAAACAGATCACGTCTATGATGCACATGATGGCAACAACCACACTTTAGGAATGAGAGTAGCACAGAAGAGCTCCATTTGGTTTTAGGTAGTGTATAGTTACTAAAAAAAAAATTGCAATCATTATGCTCCTAAAATGTAACTACAAGAAGCCCACTAAAAGTCTGTTCCATGCCTTATTGCATTGGCCCAAGAGAAGTCCACATTCAGTTTGAGCATTGCCAATGCTAAAGCCTACCAGTTAGTTAGCGCTTACTATTTTAATTCACTGTTTCTGAAGAAAGCAAACATTGTGGTAAGCATCCTGTGAAGTGTGTTCCCCACTTTACTCTTATTCTAACTTCAATGCAGGAGAAAGCCATTATAATTAATTTTTGTGTGAACATTTAGTGTCTTCTCACTCTCAAGATTGAAATTTATTCAATCTTTACCTTTAAATAACTTAGACTTTTAAGAGACTAACAAATTAATAAAATGTAAGAGTTGTTTATACTTAATCTAGTGAAGTGACTTGATGCCTTCAATAACCTCTGAAGCACTGTGAGTCAGCCCCTCCATCCATCTCCAGCACTACTCAGCTGGAATCAGAGGTTTTACAGCACAGTAATTCAGGCTGTAAAAAGAGTCAGACTTTGAAGAACGTTTTAGAAGAAAGGTGTAATAAGCAGCTGAACCACTAACATAATATACATTAAATTAAACCCCCCCCCCTTTTTTTTTTTTAAATAGAGGTAGACCCCACATCAGGAAAGAAAAAGCCATAACAATATCGCTCTTCTTCCCATTCCTGCAGGATATACATCTTACAAGAGAACCAAAGGGGCACAGACTTCTTCTCACTTTCTCTCGAGACACGCTTTGCCGCGTCAGATCTCCAAGGGCTAGAACCTGACCCAGAGACACCGTTAAACAACGGTTTGTTCTCAGCTTTCAATTACCTTGGATCTTCCAGGAGACGTGCAAGTTTAATTAAAGTTCCTGAAGTCGTTACAATGCTTCGCTGACAACAGAACTGCCCTGCTGAAGAGCTGGAACTTCCCTCCCCAAGCCCCTACTTAATGCTGTGGGATACTTCTTAGTTAAGGTTTTTCCTTCAAGCTACAGAAAAGTCATGAAATTTAGAGAAGCTACCAAGGACCAGGCAAATGAAAGAAAAATGCCAGAAAGTGCCAGGTACTGCTGTGCACGGAGATGGTATGTATCGGACAATTCAGTGCCATGCTGTGCGCGGTATAAGCACGGGTTGCAGTATTCTGCTTAAGCAGTCAGTGTTACGTCACTTCCACGTTTATCAACTGGATACAGGTAATAAAATAACCTATTAAGGTCAAAGAAAAAAAAAGAGGTATCAGTGATTAGACTTTGAAAACTAGGAGAAGCCAAAAAGCATGACATCCAAGACTTCATTTCTTCTGGCCACACAGCACAGCTAAGCATCAAACCCAATTTTCTGCAGACCCACCAGCCAGCTGGGAGCAGCCAGCAACGCCCCCGGCAGACAGGCATCCCCCCGCCATGGGAGCATCGCTGCTCCAGTGGGAAGGAGAGCGGCCAGGGGAGCAGAGCGAGAGGTGCTGGTGGAGACGCGGTGGGGCAGAAACATAGAAATCGGGGAGAAGTTGCAGAGGTGTCGCAAAGACAGTGGGGCGAGGGCAGCAGTACCCAGATGCTATGAAACACACGTGAGGAGCCGCAAGGCACGAAAACTCACCTAATAAAACTCATACCTATGTGCAGCTTTCTGCTCTGTTCAAGCACTTTGAATTGGGTTAACTTTTTTGATTTTTTTTTTTCCTCCAGAACGTGGAGAACGTACATCTGATGCAGTCAGTTAAGGAGACCTGTCCAGGTTTATATGGCGTCCTTGCTGCTGGAGAGACACCTAGAGCTAACTGACACCTGAGAAACACGGGGACAGAGAGAAACAGAAGTAATTTCCTCTATTTCATGGAAATCACAAGAAAAAAAAATCTTCTTGAAACGTTAGAAAGTTCTGATCAGTTCTGATCTTACCGGAAACGGCTTGTCTGCCCTGCTGATTAATAAATAAAAAGGCAACGTCCAACTTGCAGCTGTTGTGCACTTATTTATAACAGCATGCACTAATGGCATAATTATGAGGCACACAGCCTTGAATCACCGTTTAGCACAGAAGCCAGACAATCTCTGTGCGAGAAGCAGCAGCGGGCGAGCTTCACGCCGGACAACCGTGGCCCCTTCAACAGCCTCAGGCAAAGAACAAGCAGGGAGTCTCAGAAATCAGGCAGACTTCTGGTACCTCTTCAGTGGTTTCATAAATCATTCAAAGTACCAAAAAAAGCTGATACATAAAGCTCTGAGTAAGGTTCTTTAGCACTTTCCTACTCTTAAATGTAAGGTCCAATCCCAATTCTACTAATAGCTATTAAATACCTTGCTGAATTCCAAACCACAGTATCATTAGATAGTTTGGGGGAAAAAAAAATCTCAAACATAACTAAGAGAAACAGCCACGTTAGACATGAAAAGTTGGTCAGCTGAGACAGATGCACACACATGCAAGACTGCTCAATGCACCCAGTACACAGTAGCTCTGATAGGTCCCAGACACACTGAAGAGACCTCACTTCATCCCTGAAGATTATCATTTTGGATCTTAATTGCAGATGAGTTTCCTTTCCACTCTGATTAATATCCAGGTGGTAGACTGAATTATATGTTAAATTATTGTCTATTGATCTTGAAGTAACATAATAAGGCCTCCTTCCTTTTACTGAAAGGACACAAATAGACCTAACAGAA